AGCGGAGGCCGCGCCCAGCCAAGGTCTCCGCCCATCAAGCCCAGTCGGCTAGGTGAGCGGAGGCCACGCCCAACGAAGGTCTCCGCCCATCAGGCACAGTTGGCTAGGAGAGCGGAGGCCGCGCCCAGCGAAAGTCTCCGCTCATCAGGCCCAATCGGCTAGGTGAGTGGAGGCCATGCCCAGCGAAGGTCTCCGCCCATCAGGCCCAGTGGGCTAGGTGAGCGGAGGCCGCTACCAGAGAACCTTTGCTCAACAGAGTCCGCCCAGAGAGGAAGGCCCCGCCCAGCGAGCCCAGACCCGCCCAGAGAGCGTTTTTCCACGTACCAGGCTCAGGTCTCTCCGAGAGCCGAAGCCCCGCCCAGCAAGCCCAGCCGCTGCCCAAATTTGCGAGACTTCGGCTTCCCCCCTCACCCCGCCCTCTCTCCGGCCATCCACCAATCACAAGCGGAGGCTCGGCCTCTGTGCAGCACAGGCCAATCAAGGGCGCGTCCGCGGCGAGGGCGGGGTCGCGTCGGGCGCGCCGAGCGGGGGCGGAGGCCGGCGGGCGGCCCCGAGTGTTGTCGGCGGCGGCGGCGGCGGCGGCGAGGTCGGGAGGCTGATGCTGGCTGCGGTGCAGGCCCGACAGGCGGGGTAAGGTCGCAGTGGGCGCGCGGGCGTGGGGATGCAGGCCGCGGGTCGTCCTGAGCCTCGCAGCGTGGCGTGCAGCGGGCCCGGGTTGGCGGGCCCGCGGAGAAAGCCCACGCAGGACTCTGCGGCCTTCGCGAGGCGGTTTCGGTTGGAGAAGGCCAGTCCGCGAGCCTGCCACGGAAGGCGGAGGGCCAGGCCGGGGCGCCCAGCGTGAGCACTGCGCTGCCTGGGGGGCGGGCCCGGGTCGTCCAGCGTGGGCCGCGAGCTGACTACCCGCGGAGGAGGCAGCCCGGAAGCCCAACCAAGAGCCACAGGTGGAAGTTCAGAAGGGCAAATGTGCGGCCACTCTGCGTGCGCCTCTCTGATCGTTTCCTTTAGTTCTATCTTCAAGGTAGGAATTAGTGTTAGCTGTTAAAGTTTTTATTCCAGTAGGTCCAAAAATCGTCACAGACAGTGGGTGGCCTAATAAGGGAAGATCCTGGAAGTTGGAGGCTAGGATGTGCCCAGTACCTGACGGTTCGTGCCCTGAAATGGCAGTGAAAACAAAAATCATCGAAGGGAATAATCTCAATACATAGGATTGAGAAAGAAAAGAAAGAGTTCAGATCCAGGACTAACTTTTCAGAAGGAGATTTTTTTCTAAATTTACTTTGTATCTATGAGGTTTTTTGGCGGACCACTGTATAAATACTTGGTTACCAGGTTGTAGACAGGATGTGGTCTCAAAGGGATGTTGGAGGTGGGAAGGAATGGTGAAACTGTGCCTGTCGCCAAATACAGTTCTCGTGAGTTCCTGGACAACAAAAACATTTGTGTAGCACTTCATCATTCCTGTTAGTCGGCTCTAAGTCTTCAAGTGGACGTGGCCCAGCTACCCAGAGTATTTTAGGTTACGAGAAAAGATGCTCTGGAGTATTTGCAAAGCCAGTTGTACCCCGCCTTGTCTCTGCCCTTGCTTCCTGCGCGTAGTTGCTACGCAGCTGCTGCTCACGAGCTAGGTGCTGACTTTTCTGACTTGCCTCGCATGTGTGCAGCAGTGGGTTTGATCCCCAGCCCTGGTTTGGGAGTGTTAAGATTCCCAGGGAGCAGTAAGTGATTATTATTGTAAGGCAGCAGATTTGCCAATGCTATTTACAAAAAGTTGACTGAGACAGGAAGAATGCACATTAGAAGCCAGCCTGGGATTTATTTTTTTTTTATTTTTTGCGGAACCAGGGATTGAACTCAGGCCCTTGCGCTTGCCAGGGAAGCGCTTATTCCACTGAGCCATCTCCCCGGGCCAGCCTGGGAATTTAGCAAGACTCTCAAAATTCAAAAAGTAATCAGTGAAAAGGACTGAGGAGGTCGCTCAGTGCTCCACAGGTTCAGTCCTTTGTACTACTTTTAAAAATTTAAAAGGCAGCTGAAAGTGAATTAGGTAATAATTAAGCAGCACTGTCATGCTCAGACAAAAAGGATGTGCACCACATTGGCAAAGCCAAGCCTAATGCATGGATAATTCCATGCAAGCCCCATGAAATCCCTGGTCCAAGGCATTTGTTTTCCTCCTTGCTTTGAAAATGCCTCTGCTTTATTTTGTCGCTGCTTACTCTTTCAGGTCTTTCATGTTGTTCTGTCACCCACTACTAGCTTGTCAGCTTTCCCTTTTGCTCAGTTACCATGAGCTTGTTCACAGTAGTGTAAGGTGTAAAGACACACCCGGTAGTACAGTTGTGATTGTAGTCCTGTTCTCTGAGGTGGGGGTGTGTAGAGAGTCGTTTCACCGTAGTGTGTTTGTCAGTGCTGGGATTTGGCTTTACCTTGGCAATGGAAGTTGAGAAGTGGAGGACTCCACAGAACTTACTGTTAGGTTGGCGAGATAGCGCAGCAGACTGAGCGCCTGTTTAGGCATGCACAGGTACCAATGTTCGATCCCCAGCATCATACGCTGCACTGGCCCTGCCCCTGGGCACCCTGAGCCAGCCGCTGAGACCAGACGTGGTGCTGTATGCCTGTGATCCCAGTGCTGGGAAGGCTGAAAACGGGATCCCTACGAGTCCAAGATGTGTAGTGAGACACTGTACCAAATACGTTTTAAAAAAAAAAAACTTAGTATGGTCAAGTCCAGTGTGTTTGTGTTGGTGGTAACTTTGGTGTAGTATTTTTGGAGAGCAACTAGTAGTGTATGATAAGGATTTTGATTTTGAAGTCCCACTTTTGAAAATGATTTGATAAGCAAATGGTGTTATGTCCATAAGGTAAACAAGCTTTGAGACTAGCTCATTCCTGTTCTTCCCTCCAATCACAATTTAAACCATTGCGATCCATGAATATATGTTTTAAAATGTACTTTAATCTCAAAGATGTGTTACACAACAGCTAGGATATTGTCAAAATATGTGAGGATGTAAACAGGATTAGGAGGGAAGTGTGTTAATCATTGCCATTTTGAATTTCAAAAGCAGCCAGGCACACTCTGCGTAGCTGAGGCAGGAATGTTACAAGTTCAGGCCTAGTCAAGACTACTTAGGGACTTAATGAAGACACTGTCATGCTGTAAGACACAGTGGCAAATCTTGTTTCATCTCATCTTTCTGCGCCCCCACCCATTTTCATGATTGCTTTCTAGACTGTTTGGTCATATGTCATAGCCCAGTTGCAAACCTGCTTGAGTTTGGTTCCATCCAGGGGATTACCTGTTCCCTCATGGCCTAACTGCAGGCTGCCTCTCTTTAGCTGTCTTGGGACCCTGCCACACACTTACCCTTTACTCTATTGTGACCTTGTCCTCCTGGTTTCCTATACCTCTTGAGGTTCAGGCCCATTGGGTGTGGGAGACTGCTTCAGGACAGGGTAGCAATGGCCCCTTCCTCTTTCTTTCTGTTCTGTAAATGCAGTGGGTAGATGGCACTAGTTGCTTCCTCAGTTGTCTCACTTTCTGGTTAACTTCTCTGTGTATGCCCTGTGCATGCCATGGACTCAGGGTGGGGTTGAGACCACCTACAAGCTGAGTAACTGCGAACCTCTTTGGGCCTGAGTTGAGTTCTTGATCCGTAGGGTGGGCATGATGCCAACTGCACAAGGTGCTGTGAGTAGTAAATGAGACAGTGTAAGCAAAGGGCTTGACGTGGGCTTCTTGGCGGTGGTGGTCACGTGCGCTAGAACGTGCCGGAGGGCTTGACTGTAGTCTTCCTGGCGAGGCCTCCTCTATCCCTGTATCTCCAAGTTCCTTTCTGTCATACTCACTTTATTTTCTCCAGTTACCTGGCCACACTACTTGAGAGGTTATCCTCCATGTTTTAACCCACCATACCAGAAGGAATTTCTGTTTCTAAGTGTTTAGACTTGCTTAGTTCAAAATAGGTGCACTAATGTTGGAATGCATTCATTATGCTTTATTAGGAGGCCTAAAGAATATGCTGTACAGTTTGGGGGGAGGGACTCTAAGGAGAAGAATGTCTAGCCCTGTGGGGTGCTGATGATGCTCAGCTGTGTCCCAGAGCCCACAGGGTTGAGTCCAGCCACGCCCTACCCCAAGGGGGACAAAGGAATATACAGATAAAAATTTAATTTACAAAGTGATAGGTTTTTTTCAAGTGCACAGTGCAGCAGAGAAACAGGCAGAAGGAATAAGGGAAAGGAGCTTTATTTTCTTTGAGGACACAGAGAATTTGGGAAAGATATGAAGTTCTCTCAGTTGGTACAAAGGGTGGCTGAAGCTTTCATGGCCTTTTGCCACCGGCGGTGGAGTTTGAAGGGGTGTCTACCTATACCAGAGAGAGCTGGCGGGGGTCTTCCCTGAGGCGACAGGAAGGGTGGAAGGAAACTGCACCCTGGGCTAAGTTGGAGAAGAAGGGGGAGCTGGCCTTGCTATATTAGATGACCACCATGATGATTAAACAGCTCATACTAGGGCCAGAACCTGTCAGTAAACATTTACAAATAAGTACAGATTTGTAAAAATGATTAGCAGTGCAAATATAAGTTGAAAGAAGTAATACATTTATCAGTTACTTGTCATATTTCTGTAATTACCTGATATACTTCTGTAATACTTCTTAGCTATGCATTTTTTTTTTTTGACAGTTGACACATCTCATTTTATTCGGAGAGCAGATAATTCTCAAATACTAAATCCAATATAATCAGATGTTAGACATTCAAACATCATAGCCAATGATGCCACGCTTGCCTATGATCTCTCCGATATAAAACCACATCCACACTTCAGTGGCCACCAAACCATTCAGCACAGCTTCCTTTATTGTGAGCTGTTTGAAGCTACCAGTTTGAGCACTACGGACTATTTTTTTCAGGCTCTGAATAGCTGCAGGGATCTCAGCAGGGGTTGGAGGAACCAGCTCAACCTTGGCATGATGCCAAAATGTGGCCAATCGAGGCTTCGAGTAAGTCACAGCAGCAGTCACTAGCGCCAGGGCCTTCTCCGCGAGGTTTCGGACGAACTGGGCCATAGTTCTAGGGTGGAAGGGCTAGTGCACCTACAGCCGGCTGAATGTCACCCCCGGGAAGGCAGCTATGCATTTTTAATCACCTTTTCATATGACAGTGAGACAGTAGAACACATAGATTCCTCTTGTAGTTAGGCTTTGGAAGGGGAGCAACATAACACAAACACATAATTTGTAAGGTTTGTTTTTTAAATGGATTTGGTTGTTGCAGGGTCTCACTGTGCAGCTCAGACTCATGGTGATCCTGCTTTCAGCCTCCCCAGTGCTGGGATTCTAGGCGTGCACCACCACTCCCAGACTCTGGCTGCCTCAGCCCGCCCTAGGGGCGGGGCTGGCGCAGCATATGGTCCCAGGGGATTGAATTTTCAGGTCCCTGCATAAGATTATTTTATAATAGTTACCCAAAGAGTCAAATACAAAAGAATGCATGAAATATTTGCACACATTCAAGACCCAAAGAATCTAGCTGAGGGCCTAGATCCCACAACAGTGTCCTGATGAGGCTAGCTGAAAACCTAGAGCCCATGACAACACTCCATGAATCCACCTGTAGGC